TGTAAATAAAATGGCGGCCACTATAGAGAGGACCCATTCCAGATGTAAATATAAAATATTCAAATATAAAGGGCCCAGTCTAGGGTACATTTTTTCTGTATTCAGGGCTCCTCCCACTTCCCTTATTGTACTATACATATGTCCATGTTCTTTTATGTTTCATGTACTTCTTTATGTGTTGTACTTCCTAGCTGTAAACAAAAATTGCCTTTTGGGGACAAATACAGTTAAACAGGGTTAGGATAAAGGTTATGTGATGTATTTTGCATAATGAAATTGTGAGAAAAAACAAATATAGGCTACTGTAACATACACCATTATTGCTGTATATACCATGATAGAACAGTATTATTCAGCATAGACAAGAATTATCAAAGAAGAGCCCTTAACTCCAGCACTGGCAAAACTTTAACAAACAGCTGTCCAACACACAAAAACTCAAAGTGATGACAACAAGTACACTCAAAAAGCCACAGGCCTGTTCGCACTTTGGATAATGATAACTGACAATAATAATACTAATATCGCAGCAACCACACAGCAAAGAGACTGTTCTTTAACAGCAACATAAAATTCATGTCAACATTAACAACTAGAAGGGCGCTATGAGAGCGCATATCTCCGCCAAGGCTGATGCCCTATCTCGCCATGGCTAACAGTGTTTCTGTTTAATTATCTTGACTGTGGTTGCCTAACTTCTTTTAAATTGCGAAATAGGGCTTCTTTTGAAATCTTTACAGATTTCCAAGAGAATAATTCATGAACAGACTCAATGACTCAAATAACCGAATGTGACGCTTAGCCGACAACTAGCAGCTAGCTGCCACTCGGATAGCTGACAGCACCCATCTGTCACCTATCCGTAATTTTAAGCCATAGTGTAATTTTAACAGGTGTGTTCCACCAGGTACAAAGACCACAGTTTTTTTTTTATACCAGGTTTAGTTAAGGTTCTGTTAAAATGAACATTTTAACAAGGGAGTCTATGAGGAATTACTCACTTTTGGAGCCAGCCTCAAATGGGAATCTGGGAAATGCATTTTTCAATACTTCTGGCTTAATTTTTCAGCCCAAGAGGTTTTTGGTTGATTATGACACATGACTGAAGACCAAATCAGAGAGGAAAGTGAAAACACTTTAGTGAATGTGTAAGGCATTGCCTGTACCTGCAGAATAGATGCCAAAGGTGGAAGAACACACAGGTTGACTGTAGTTGGATGCCTTGGAGTCAAGTGTATCCACAATGCAGATAGAGACGCAGTACTGTCTGCCAGGGGCCAGGTCCTCCAAAATCTCTCTTCTCAGGGACTTAATGTCCTTGAAAAACTGCAGAGAGATCACAGACTACTGTTAGATAAGTACTAGACTCAGAGGAAACATTGAGACAAACACAGCATTACTTACTCAGTAGGCAATAAGTACATTTTTTTGTGTATAATGTATACATGTGTATATTTATCTGTACCTATATCAATTATTAAATTGTGATAATTGTTTGATGATTCTAAATGGTTAACATTCACACTTTATAAACTTGCATGCAGCAGGATACTGTTTTCACTCCTGTGTGGCTTATTAAGAATTCTGGCATGGTAGCATGCCTAGGTAGCAAATAAATTTGCTCAGGAACTGACACTAATTGCCACACAATGCCTGCATTTGATTCGAATAGAACAGTTTCCTGGTATGATAGGATTTAGCATCTGCACTTGGGGGCTTGATTCTAATATGGCTGGAATCAATGTTGCCCACAACTGAAGTGAAAAGCACTGAATAGTAAACAACAAAATACACTAACAGTTCGCAGCTGACAATTTCACATTTGAGAGATCTTTTGAAATCAGCATTGCGTTGTCTGATGAGTCCAACAACCCATGGATGTGTGACTCAAACTCAACTTGTTGAATTTCACCTGTATCAGCAGCATAACGCCAACATCAACACAACCTGCTGTATTTTTTAAGCATTGCTATTTTGAAGACTCTGTTAAACCTCTTAGTTCTGATGGCATGAGAAGAAAAATCAGTGTTAAGACACTATGTAAGCCCATGTACAATACCGTGGCTCTTTCTGCACTGTTGCATTCAATCTTGAGTTTATAACTGAGTGTGTCATAGATCTTTCTTCTGTGCTCCGTGGGGGGATGAAGGTCCACACAAAGATTCCTGCCACAGGGTGCCACAGTCAGGTGTGGCAGGTCCATCCAAGCTGGAGGACACAGACCAGACACAGGGACAAAATGTCAATGTCATTTTTATTTATATAGCACATTTAAAACAATGTGGTTGACCAAAGTGCTCCAGAGCAGGTTAAGTTTGAGATAAGAGACCTGTACTACAAAGCAGGGTTTGAGGTTATCGGAGTAACTTCAGGTCTGCTTGAGTTTCTGGTGCCACAGTTTCTTTTTTCTTTTTTACACTTCTCATATTAACATAGGATTTCAAACTTTCGTTTTGCTCTGTTACTGCATTGTATGGCTGTGTGCAGTGCTTTTTGGAATGTTATTTGCCTTGTGCTGGCTCGCACTATGGTCCATAAAGTTGTTAGCGTCCACATTGACAGTCAGACCTTTGATTTTCAGCTGCAGTTGTGTGCATACCCATAAGTGGCATGCAAAGCACTTCACTCACTCACATGTTAACTTCTCTTTCCCTCTTTAGTCTGTGTAACTGTCACTCAGAATATGTTGCACAGGAGAGATACCTTTGTGGGTGTACATGTACACACCCCCCGCTATTGCCACAGATTGAATTAATTCTATGGGAAACACAAAGGCCCAACAGTCCCCTTATGTTAAATCAAGCAGCACTAAATTGTACACACTCAGAGATATCAGCCCTTAAATATTATATGTATGATTTTTTCATCTAAATCCATGCATTGCTCCCTAAAAAAAATTAATGAAAAGTTCAATGTTGAAAAAAAAATCCTGCATCCACCCCAAAATTGAATAGGTTCTTCTCTGACTCCCACTGCATCCTTAAACCAAGTTTCATCAGAGGTTTTCACTGAATACTGCTTACAAGAAACATTCTAACTTGTCATCCTTGGTCGAGGTAATAAATCCAAAAAGAGAAAAATAATGCAATGGCAGGACTGTTTGAAAGAGAATATATCAATTTTCATTATTTATTCCTTTTACTGAACATCATCTATTTCAACACAGTTCCACTTACTGTCTTCGAGGGGTATAAATCCTGGATGTATCACTGCTTGTGAGGCCTTTCCTTTCTGCACTGTCATAACCTGGACAAAGTGGAGTTCTCTTTCGTCGAAAAAAGCACCTGTGAGGTCACAAACCAGAGGGTTGTGGACATGCTCACAGCCAGCCACTGGCACCCAGGATGTTCGCCTTCAGGAGGGAAAGAATAAGACTTAATGGTGTGAAAAGGACCAAACATTTTTAAAACCCTTGCACAAAGATATACTGGGAATATAACTTTGACAGAGAGGAGTAGAGATGGAGTACATTTTACTTACGGAATTTGACCTCTAAATCCTCATCATCATTAGCACTTGCAGTTTTACATTAAAGGCCGATGAGTGCCTATTCACTAAAATGCATTTATTTTGAAGCACATGCAGGAAATGGTAAAGAATAAAGAATTCGCTGTAGCTCCGAAACGTGCTAAACTGAATGGGTAGAAAGGACAAATGTACTTGCATAAAGTGCATTTTCCCATTTTAGGGAGTTTTGCTTGTAAATACCTCTTGTTTACCATTATCAAAGAAAAACAAAATATTTGTATTGTGCCCCTGAATTTATAAATGTTCTCCTTGGGAAAACAGTAAGCACCAAGCCCAGACATTTTCTGCCTTAAATACATGCTGTCACAATGACATGGTTGAGCCAATCAGTGTAGAATTCTGGTCAGCAGCAAATTTATTGTCTGAAGGGAATTTCTGTGCAACTTTAGAGATCATTCATTATGACAAAACTGATCGGTCTGTGATGCTATCCTAAAAAAAGGAGAAAAGCTGAAAATTTGAGAACAAATCAAGGGGTACTTATGTTTCCATCTGGACGGTCTGTCTAATACTGGACTCAGTTTAGCACATAGATCAAAGATCACAGCTCCAGGGAATCTAAACCAGCTCATGCAAGTCATCATCGTGGCCCCGGAAATCTTTGTGGTCCCTGAACTCTTGTTTCCTCCTGATCCTTCAATTTGCACTGTCCTCTAACAGTGCCAACATTACACAGGAGTGACTCCGCAGTATTTATCTATTTACAGCGCCTGTTGACAGATCATTTAACACCTTGCCAAATTCTATAATCTGGCTTCAATTCACCACCTCACATCTAAATTGCGAATTTCTGGTCCCCCCACATTCAACCAGCAGAGGTTGTTGTACAAAATTCTGTATTCATTTATTTTATCTACATTTATTCTTTAAAAACGTGTGTACTCATACTATATGTCTGTGTTCAGAGCGCATCAGAAAACTGCAGGCAGCCTAGCCTGGACAAGAGCCCAGTTAAACAGGGAGAATGATGGTATAGAGAGGTCTCTACTGCTGTCGGCCTGAACAAGAGCCAAATAGGCCCTTGTAGTTGACTAGATAACGAGGCTAGACAAAGATAGGAAAAAACAGAACTCAGCATTGTGCTGCAACTGGTAGCCTATTCTTAGGATGGTGTAGGAAGTTGTATCAGTTGAAGGTTAAGTTCAAAAGTCTGCAGGGGTTAATGCCCCTGGACCCTGTTAGCGGGCTACTTTTTCCTGCTAGCTTGCTTTTCCATATCCTTGAGGAATGCCCTGGCATTGACAACAATTATACCAAAACCATGTAATTAAGAGGTCACACTTTGATTCCCCTTTTTGCCATGGATTTTTTTTGTGACTCACTTTGTAACCTTGTTTAGATAAGTGCTATACAAATAAAGTTATTATTATTGAAGAGAACCATTTCAGTTGCTTTACAGAAGTTCCATTGTGGGTGGTAATATATTGGCCCATATATCAGTATCTGAAATTGTTTATTCCCCAATATCAGTAATAGCATTGGCAATAGCAAAATACATATTGTTCAAGCTCTAAATAAGATTAACATCAATTAAAATGACTTAAATATCCATATAAATGCATCTGAAACCCACTTGTCAGTGATAATAGTGACATTGTAGTGCACTCCAGCGGGGGTTCCTGGTCCTGGCTGCCACTTCAACATATGGCTTCGGGTCAGGGTAAGGTTGACAGCCGGGGGCAGTTCACTCATAGCTGCAATACAGTACAATCAAACAGTCAACTCAATTCAATTTTATTTGTATAGCGCCAAATCATAATATACATTATCTCAAGGCACTTTACATAGAAGGTCAGGACCTTAAAATCAAAATATAAAGAAAACCAACAGTTCCCACAATGAGCAAGCACTTTGGCGACTGTGGAGAGGAAAAACTCCCTCATTAACAGCGAGAAACCTCTGGCAGAACCAGGCTCAATGTGGGCGGTCATCTGCCTCTACTGGTTGGGGTGAGTAAAGAAAATGGGAGAAGGAGATGAGAGATGGGTGGAAAAGAGGGGAGAGAAGAGAGCGAGGGATAGTGGGGAGAGGAAAGTAGGTGAGAGAAAGACCGGGGACACTTGAGCACCATCAGGTATCAGATCTGACTAGTTAAAAATGGAACAACAGTGTAAAGACTATTAATTACTGTATCAATGGAAATACAAATACAATAACTTTCAATTTGATTTGTACTGAAGATTTGATCAAAAGTGGACAGCTCCAAGATCATCACGAGGTCTGCCAGTCTTGAAATGGCAGCAAACATATCACCATGAAACACAGTTATTGTTGAGGGACAGTTGATAGCTGAAAAGTCGCCTGGCTCAGATTTGTTGTGAATTGAAAGGTGATATGGGTTTAAGGACAGGCTTGATGGTGTCCCAGGGCTCTCCCCAAGGAATGGAACAATGCCGCTGCACCATCATACCATAATCTTAGTGCCATCATCCTGATTTTCAAAAGTAGGGTGTTTCTCATGGATTCGCTACATCTTGCGATACTTCCACAATGTACGACTCACTCCAATCATTATGAAGTGCTTTGAGAGAGCGGTGCAGGCCAACATCCAGAGCAGCATACTGGACCCCCAGCAGTATGCCTAGCGGCCCAACAGGTCCACCTCGGACGCCATAGCTGCTGCCCTCCACTTCTCCTTCTCCCACCAATAAAACAATGACTCTTACATAAGGATGCTCTTTGTTAATTACAGCTCTGCTTTCAACATGGTCGTCCCCCACAAACTCATCAATAAACTCTCCACAATCGGTCTGCACCCCACCCTCTGTGACTGACTAATTGACTTTCTGACTGGCAGACCTCAGTCTGTCAGGATTGGTAATAGGACTTCAGCCAGCATTACCACCAACATTGGCACCCCACAGGGGTGTGTCCTCAGCTCCATCCTCTACACCCTGTTCTCCCACAAAGACAACATCGCCCTGAAGTTTGCGGACAAGACCACAGTGATAGGACGCATCACTGGGGGAGACAAGCAGCCTACAGGAGGGAGGTAGCCAGTCTGGTGTCATGGTGAAAGGACAACAACCTCACCCTCAACACTGACAAGACCAAGGAGCTGATAGTGGACATGAGGAAGGAGAGACCTCATCAGCCACTTTTCATCCTGGACCTTGAAGTTTAGAGGGTGAGCAGCTTCAAATACCTAAGGGTCCACTTCAGTGCAGGCCTCAGGTGGACATTAAACACCACACAGCACAAAGTTTGAGATGACTCCTAAGATCCTCAGCAACTTCTACAGCTGCATCATTGGGAGCATCTTGACCAGCCACATCACCGTGTGTTACGGCAGCACATCTACTATGGACCGCAAACGCCTGCAGAGAGTAGTGAGGACAGCAGAAAAATCATCAAGACCTCACTGCCCTCTCTGCAGAGCATTTTCCACCGCAGAGTTCACAAGAGAGCTTCCTCTATCCTTAAAGACCCCACCCCCAATATGGACTGTTCACACTTCTACCCTCAGGCAGGAGGTACAGAAGTGTTAAATGTAGGACCACCAGACTCAAAAACTCTTTCATCCCCACTGACAGCATAAGAATGTCATTGCACAGGGGAATGTCTTTCTCCTGTGCATTTGACAATACAAATCTTTGCTGAGAAAACGGAGATCAAAATTTGTGAGGTACAAAGACATTGTAATCCTGAATTTTTAAAGATCGATCAAATGGATGTTATTTCGGGATGATGGCATGCATAATTTCCATTCTTTAGGGTTTTTATCCTTGTTAATGTCTTTTTTCTAAAGCCCCTTTTACATATACATCTGTTTATTTTCACCATGATCGTAGCAAGAGAGTAAGGCCGTAGCACTTGTGGATACATTTCAGCAGGTTGTTGCAATTTGTTTTGTTTCATTTATAAGATTGATACGAACTTGAAATGTTTTTTGGGGGGGCAAATGCTTTTCCTTGTTCTCCAGAATTGTTTGCCTCTCTTATGTCTCCTTTGCAACCAAGGGGAACAGCACCATCATATTCCAAATTTCTGGGGAGAGCCCTGTGTCCCCTACAACATTTCAAAGAAGTAGCCCTACCATATATTTCACATACATGTATGAAAACTGGTAGAAATACGCAACACATCATGTCTGAGGCTACACACTCAACACAGGAAACAATATTTTACATAATGCACAGCTGCATAAACTTGCATCCTGCAAACACCCTGAACAGGAAAGGGCCCCTTCAACACTGCCTGCAAGTTTAATTGACTTTAAAATACCCTCAGAAATGACACCTCTAGTACAACAGTGTCTCTGGGTCTGAAGGCCTCTATATAACACCACTTAACTGTGTACTCACCTGACAGGATCTGAGGCAGCCATGTGAGCATCCAGATGAGAGGAGTCATGACAGCTGGAGCAGAAGTGCAGCCATCACACCACTGTTAACCATGTCTGTCTTCACAAATCTGCTGTTCGCCTCACTACGTCGTTCTAAAACACATAATCGTATATCAGTCAATCAAATTTGTTTAGCCCATATTGACAGATCACAATTTGTCTCAGTGCTTTACAAGGTGTGACATCCTCTGTTCTTAACCCTCAACAAGAATAAGGAAAGACTACCCCCCAAAAAACCCTTTTAACAGGGAAAAAGAAGGTAGAAACCTCAGGTCCCTCTCCCAGGACGGACAGAAGAGCAATAGATGCCACTTGTATCGAGTAATGCATTACGTTTTAGCTACTATGAAAAACGAACATGGGCTGAATGTCAAGTTACTCTCCACTGTTTTAGTTATTTCTGCTGTGAAATGAGTCTCTGTCACTTCGGTCTCTTGTCAAATTAGGAACAGTTAACATGACACTTAATGACTTTACTTCCCCTTAGGCGTCATCTTAGCTTCATACATTCAGTTTAACGTTGTTTTCAAAAGGAGCAATGTCTTCACATTAAACAAAGTGTCTAGCAGTGAACAAAGCTCCATCCCTCTCTCCTGGTGCCCATGGTGTAGCTGGCTCGCGAACATACTTTCCTTTCCAAACATGTGAACTAACTGACCAGCCAAATCACGAGTGTAATCTGTGTGTAATATCATAGTTACCTGTCACGACCACAGTCCCTGCTCCCACATTTCCGCTACAGTTCAAAACGGCTACTCGTGTTGCCTTTACGAACCTCTGGAACAGTTGCAACCCCAAAAAGCTCACTTCATAAAAAATGACAACGTAATAATACACATAGAACTTTTGTTCAATGTAAAATATAAACATAAATACAGATATTTCCTGCATTATTGTTTATCCTGTATATAATAACACACCTATTTTCAGCCAACCGATAAATCCGGCTCTGCTGATGAACCTTTAAAACCACAGTATGACTGAGTAAATGATGGAGGTGAAATCAGGTCTGTGAACATGTGTTCCAGAAGAAAAGATATATACATTTTTCTGTCGCTGTTATTTATTGTTTTAGAAATAAATCTTCACAGATTTTTTTGGGCTTTTAAAGATCAAACTAACTCAGCGAACAGAACTGGCAGCAGTTTTCCTCTTCTTATGTTCAAATGTTCGTATGTTCCACTGCTACATAACTAACGGCCGCTCTGCCTCCCTGAGATGTATGCGATGCACAGACTGAGAAGAAAGATCTGGGTAAAACACCTGCGTTATCTGTTTCTTTATTTCCAATTGCTCTCATGAAATCGTTTGTTAAATATGTTTTTTTCTTTATTTTGTCTGGCGTCCATGAATTATTCGCTCCCTCAGCAGCAAGTGGGAATTGTTTTCCTCCCAAAAGCACAGTTTTATTTTGGTTTTTTTTTTCTGCATGAATAACTACTTTGTCTCCAGGTGGTTTTTTTATACGCCCACTGAGATGTAGTTATGCACACACGTAAACACACTTTAAGGCAAAAAAAATACAAAACCCCACTAATGAAATGTGTCCAGGATTTCCAAATATTTTGCAGTCCGCAGGGATAGCGCTCAGTCCTCCACGGGATGTGTCGGACATGACGGCTGCCAGTTTCTACGCACAACAACTAAATGAGCATCATGTTTCTCTTTATCTACAAAACTGGACCAACAGGCGTCGCTGATGTTGCCAAACTAAACCTCTTACATCAAGAAACCTCACCGAGCTACATCAACTGGTGTTTTCTAAAGTAGCGTGAACTTACAGAAAAAATACAAACAAGCACGAGCTCTAAAAATGTTCATAAACCTAAAATAAACAACAAAAAAAAACATAATTTATTTCATTTGAATCCAAATCTTGTTTGTATTCATGTCTCATAAATCACATTCCATGATTGGAGACAGCTGCAG